TTCTGGCCAGCAGGCATACACACAGACAGAACATTGTATACATAATAAATAAATAAATATTTTAAAAAAAAGATTCACTGTGAGACTGGCTATCAGGACAGTATGATATTGACGCAAGGAAGACAGGCAGGTAGGCCAACAGAAATATAACCAATTTAAATGTTCAGGAAAGAAGTCATGAGCGTGCCTACTGATACAAATGAAACTGATTCTGGAGGATAGGTAGACTGTCAGTTTAGGGATTTAGGTATCTACAACTTCCAATGTAGACAAATGTTACCCATATTTGATAGGAAGTACGTGGAAGCCTAAACAGGGAACTCTAGCCCGTGACAATTAAGGATCTATTTGCTACTGTTCACGAATAGCTTAACAGGTTTTCCTTATGTTCATCATTTCTCTGGTTCTTTTATTGGGCACACTATCCTAAGAAAACATTTGGAAGGCCTTAGCTTTTACAAAATTAGCAGCTTAAGTTTACACGCTTGTTTTTAGATTGGCTGCGTTTTGCTGGAATGAAGGTTTCATCTACAAGTTGATGAGAAACATTTATTTGAATCATCCCAGCACACATGGTTTGTCAGCTGGGAGGGTGGCTGTCGACTAGCACGTGCAGTTTGTGGCAGTCACTACTGCAAAATTTTTAGCCTAACGCACACGCACGACGCGCACGCACACACACATACACACACTAAAATATGTTCTGGAATGTACCATGTGGTTTCTTTCTATTTGTCATTCTTTTAAGGCTTGATCCTCCACTCAGCATTGATTTCAAAAGTAGAACCTGGGCTTTCGTCTTTCCTCTGTGGAGTCTGAGTCAGTCCCGCAGGAGTGGAAGTAAATATTGAAATCAGCATTCAATAAAAGCTGCTATCTCCACTTCATTCAAAGAAACTCTTTTGATTTAAAATAGAATAAAAATTTAGCATGGTATCTTTTCCTTGCAGCTGAAGATTTGTAGTTTAATTGTGAAAAAGTCTTTATGAGAACATACTATGTCACTTAGCAATTAGCCATAATGACTTCTATGTTATTTTTGGAATGTATGTATAACCATATGCTATAATGTGTATTGCGTGCATGTGTGTTGTATAGTGTACCAAATAGCACACATAGTACACTACTATGTTAACATCAAATGCATCAGGAGGACATTGTGTGATTGTTTCTATCAGTCAGTCATCTAGCTATTGCTTTAGTGAATGGGCCAATTCTGAACCAAGAACATCGTGATAGGCACATAATGCGATACAGCCTTTCTGTTCTTGTTGGTCATCAGCGTTGATGATGACTGGCAAGTTCAGAGTTTGTTATCTGCTGCCTGGGAATTTCTGCTCTTTCTCCTTAATAGCTATTCAGATTGAAGTCTTAGACAGCTCAGTTTGGAGATTCAGAAACCAGCACACTTCTCTCCATCCATCTTCTTTTCCTAGGACTTGAAGCCTGTTAGAGGAATCTGTAGAGCTCTTGAACATTTGAAGGGAGAATGATTATCTCCCTAAGGCCATTTGGAATGAGATTACAGCTGGGGAGCTGAGTCATTTTGCCTGTAGATCCCTTTAGAAGGAATATATATGGTTTTTCTGTTGTTTTTTAAAGGACCTAATGAAGACAAATGTTGAACCTCAGGCCATGGATACTCCTAGGCTCAGGTAGCTGACGGGAAAGGAAGGGTTGAGCCAGCAGTGCGTGCTTTCCTGGGCTACTCTTGTTCTTTGGTTGATTCTTCTATTGAAGTCACCAAGTCAGACATTTTGGTGCCGAGTAGAGGCTAGGATGGATTCTCCTTTGAGTGTCCGTGAACCTTTAGCACATAAGGTATAAGCCACTGCCAGATTGTTCTATGCTTTGTAATCTGAACAATACACACATTATAATGTTTTCACAGCAATACAGATACCTACCCAGCCTAGTAATAAAATAAATATTACTAATTGAATGTATTACCTGCTTTTTATATCCTGAAGCATTTTTCTCTTTTAGGGGCCGATAATGGATTTTTCTCACGACTTATTGTATTTAGGGATACTTCTACAGTTTTACTGAACCTTCCTTGGTTCTTTTCTCTCTTTTTTAAAGCCTATTTTCTACTCATTCTAGTTTTTTTGCTCTTTCCAATAATGCATTTTCTGTATGGAGTTTTTTTTTTTTTTTTTTTTTTTTTTTTTTTTTTTTTTTTTTTTTTTTTTTTTTTGCACAATCCTCTGATGCCACCTAGGGGCACCTGAGAGATCGGGGGTTCCTTGTGTTGGTCCTGCTTCTAAGAACAGGCTATATTTTACACAGTGGGGTGTGTAGTGTGTGAAACCCTGAGCTTCAGTTGCTTCTTGAAATACTTCCTTTATGTGGTGGCATTAGCCATCCCTCGTCTGCTGCTCACTGTTCTTTGTACCGTTTGAAGGGCAGGCACATTAGCTGGCTTCTCTTTTCTAAATCACTTCTGGGGTCGGGGCCGCTATCATCATAAGGACTCCCTCCTCACTTGCTTTTAATAAATGAAGAAACTGAAGCCAGGATGGGGAAATCACTTGCTATATAGAACTGGAGGCCCAACCTTTACCACGTGACTTGAGGCCACCTAACTGTTTCTTTTTTAGTGAGTGTCTTCCTCTTTATTGTCCTGTGAGAGTCACTGCCATTTTGGTGGGATCCTTTCAGCACGGTGGCTTCCAAGATGAAAGCTGCTTTTTAAAGCTGGACCGAGCAGAACAGCAGCAGGGAGGGGTGTGGAGACGAGGCTGTAGATGAGCCGTGAACCTCTTTTTTTACTGTATTAGTTGAAAATAGGGAACTTCAACCTAATTCTGTTATGGGACTTTGAAATGGAGAAATAATATGAAGTGTTATTTTGTAGATGTAAAGTCTGAACAACCAACTAAAAACCGAGTGTGGAAATTCACATTACTATACAGTGTAGTATAGAAGTCACGTGTGGCATTCTGTGATGGTTTCTTTGGTGAGATAGCTCATTGTGGCAGGAACACGGAATTGAGCACAAACTCCTTCTTGTGCCAGAAAAAGGACGAGACCAGGGCTTCACTGCCCTCCCTCTACAGGAGCATAACCCCAGTGATGTAACGAGAGCTCATTAAGTCCTATTTCTCCTGGTGACAAACTCAGACCCATGTGCACAATAAAGCATAGGTCATGACTACATTAAAATGCTTTGTAGAGTACGTGTGACATCTCCCATAAATATGGGTTCTGTAGATTGACAACATGTGATGTCTTCCACAAAGATGGGTTCTATAGACAGACAGGCTCACAATAAGAGTCCAGAGGCCTCTTCAGTACTTATATGTGAACACAAAAACTTCCATGCCTCCCACATACAGACATTCCTTAAAACCCAATGGCTAGGGGGCTGGAGAGATGGCTCAGCGGTTAAGAGCATTGCCTGCTCTTCCAAAGGTCCTGAGTTCAATTCCCAGCAACCACATGGTGGCTCACAACCATCTGTAATGAGGTCTGGTGTCCTCTTCTGGTCTGCAGACATACACGCAGACAGAATATTGTATACATAATAATTAAATAAATATTAAAAAAAAACCCAATGGCTAAAGATAAAATTCTAGCTAAGTTAAAACAAGTGAATTTACTTACATGTGTATATACATGCAAGCATAGAGAGCAGTGATTCTCAATATACTTTTTTTAAAAAAAAATTATTTATTATGTATACAATAGTCTGTGTGTATGCTTGCAGGCCAGAAGAGGGCACCAGACCTCATTACAGATGGTTGTGAGCCACCATGTGGTTGCTGGGAATTGAACCCAGGACCTTTGGAAGAGCAGGTAATGCTCTTAACCACTGAGCCATCTCTCCAGCCCCTCTCAATATTCTTAATGCTTTGACCCTAGTGACCCCCGCCATTAAATTGTTTTGCTGCTACTTCATAACTATAAATTTGCAACTGTTATAAATCCTAATGTAAATATCTGATATGTGACTCTAAAGAGGTTGAGAATCACTGGTATAGAGCACATGGATGCTGTTTTGAGATTTCTTTTGACTTATTTGCATACATGTGTTATGCTCATGTGTGGATAAGAGCCTGTGGAGGCAGAAGAGGGCTCTGGATTCCTCAGGAGCTGAAATTATACTACAGGTGGTTGTGAGTCACCCAACATGGGTGCTGGGAACTGAACTCTTGGCCCTCTTTGAGGGCGGCAGGAGTGCTTAACCCCTGAGCCATCTTTTCCTTGCCTTTGAATCCTGTCTCAAGGGCTAGTGCTGCAGGGAGCCCACCAGAGATGGCCATGCAGACAGTTTGTAGCCAGCTGCCTACACTCAGATATTTGGACCTACAAGAAACCCTGTGCATTTAGACCAAGGGGTTTTTAAAAGCAAAACCCATATCTCGTTATCTTGCTCAACAGCTGTGGGGGGCAGGATTTGCACAAACAAGCATTTTAATAGAAGCTAAGATAAGCCCCTGCTGGTGGTGGTGGGGGCTCTGGGCAAGCAAATAGCAAGAATATAAGATGGAAGAAGAGTTGCATTGTCTTGGCCTGTCACATTAGTATGCTTAACATAATTGTTCTTAAGTTTTCTTCCTGATTCCTGTGGCCCGTACATTTCCTCTTTTAATTCATCTGTCATTTGCTGAGAAGTCACTTAAGCTAACCTGAACACTTTTACCCTTCACACTCAGTCAAGTGCTCTGTCTGCATCTTGTGGTTACATAGCAATTATCCAGCTTCCCCATGAAGTAAACAGAGTCTCAGAGCAGTCAAGTGAATTGTCCAATGTGACCCAGCTCTCCAAAGTGTGTTCCGTGTGAGGTAAACCTGTGCAGTCGCTGACTCTCCTTGGTTGTTTTGAGTTTCTGTAATTACATTACATTCCCATAATGTAAATGTGAGTATTTCCTGTTAGTGTCCGGCTTCTTATCCCTATGGTCTTTGATCATTTGACTTTTCTGAGCCTTCTCATGTCTACATCTTTCCTGGTGCTCATCTTAGGGTCAGTGACTCTGATGTCTCTTGTTTTGCAGCTTTGGAGACATGTTGTCCTTCACTTTGACAGCCTTTGTGGAGCTCATGGACCACGGCATCGTGTCATGGGATACATTCTCAGTGGCGTTCATAAAGAAGGTAACGTAGTCTGTACTTTCCTCAGCGCAGCACTGTTCCTTTTCTCCGCATACACAATTCTCTGCATCGTGGGTGCTTTACAATTGCTTCCTTCAGTTCTTTATGTCGAAAGATGGAATGATTTTGGTAGTATTATATATATGGGGAACAGGGCCCCCGAATGCTGTATGAAAATTGTATTTTGATCCCCACAGAGATCATAAATGGTGAGAACCTAGAGTTAAGGAGAAATCAAAGTTCTCTGCTTCAATAAGTGTACGGTGTAGCTATAGATCTTAAGACCTAAGCACGCGACAGAGATTGGGTTAACTGGAAATGTTATGGACTTCTCAGATCTTACAGTCCCCTTTCAGGGACACACCTCCTAATCCTTTCCAAGCACTTCATCAACTGGGGACGAAGCATGCACGTATAAAAGTCTGTGGGGACCATTTTCATTCAGACCATCCTACTTGCTTGAGGGCTGTTACTGGTTTTTCCATTTGATGTTCTTCTTGGAAAACTACTTTAAATAAGGCAGGAAAGAAACTCTGGAACAGGGTGTTGGCAGTGGAAGCCCTGCAGATCCCATGTCTGCAGGATATTGCATGGTTATTTAAGGTGAGAGCTAATTGGAAGCTAAGGGACTTATTGACATACTTCTAAATATTTCCTGTGATATGTCTATGAACTCAGGTTAGAAAAGTTAAAGAGGATCACAGCATTGCCAGTTGAAGCTATTATAGATGATAAAATCAAAAGCATACTCCTGTGTCAGAAAGCATTCAGCTGGTGGTGGCAGGGGCTGTAGGCAATATATTTTGAGACTAGAACATGAATTGCCATGCCTTGTCTTCCTAGAATAAGCTCTAGAGAAACACATCTACACATGAAGGAACTGGGTTTTCTGGAATTTTATACTTAATTTTTTTTAACAGTTTCTGAATTTATAGTAGGCCTTGTTTCCCAATCCAAATGTCCTGCTCATCACGTGCCAGAGACCCTCTGGGGAGTGATGACACCCTTTGAGTGGGAGCTCCCAGAAGTCGTGTCTGCTCAGTGGCATTAGCTGTCACGGTTCTCACTGTCGTTATGGGCACCGTTGTCATTGTCATCATCATTGTCTTCTTCCTGCTTCTCCTTCTCTTCCTCCCCCTTCTTCCTCCTTTTGTGCAGCTAAACCTAGCTTCTCTTGATGAGGACTGAGGACAGTCATTTGGAGGTCGGCAGGGTCATGGTGAAGGGGAATCTCCTCCTCGGTGGCATGGCCAGAGTTCTTTCTTCTTAGCCACATCTGTGCTTCCTCACAGGCACAGAGCCAATAGGTGGTTTCCTATCTGTCCCTATCTGCTGTGCTTCCCTCCCTGGTCTTCCCAGTAGACTTCAGGGATTCTTGCTTCTATATGAGCCACCTCCAAGCCAGAGAAGCAATTATTTTTAAAAGAAAATTTTAGAAGTTGAAAAATGGAAGAAAAGTTGAAGGAACACGGTGAAACTTGATTTTAATGTATTTTCAAGCAGAATGCTCCTTGTCAGGAGTCAGCAATAACAAAGTCTTGTTTTTTAAATGATGTGAGTTAAGTGTTCACAGGCAATGGAAGTAATTGAGTTTCCTAACTAGCCAGAGAAACATTTATTTTTTTTTAAATCTTTGAAGTTGAAAAACTGAAGGAACATGGTGAAAGTTGATTTAAATGTATTTTCAAGTAAAATGCCCCTTGTCAGGAGTCAGCAATAACAAAGCTTTGTTTCTGTAAATGATGTGAGTTAAGTGTTCAGAGACAATGGAAGTAATTGAGTTTTCTAACTAGTTATGATGATTCCAGTTCCCTTTAAATTAAATTTGAAATCACATTTAAACTAAGGATGCAAAAGCTAATTGTCTTGGCATTTTAAATCAAAACTGAAGTATTTTTAGCAGCAGCGTATTTCATAAATTCTTGTTCTAATTTCCATTGCATTGCTTCTTAGATAAGAGAATTTGTAAAACAGCAGAAAACTACTTACGTTGTAGAAAGTCAACCCAAATTCAACATTGTGAGCACCTGGATTTGTGTGCGGGGACCTTTTCTAAATAGAGATATATCTCAATAAAACCTAGGTAGGAAACACACAAAGCTGCCTCTCCCTGTGCTCCACAGTGGTTTCCAATGCAAGTTCACACACCAGTGTGCAGAAACAGCTTTGCCCTGCTAACCTCCGCCTCTTTTCCTGTGACTTTGTCAGCGTGGCTCTGGGCTTTACTTTGCAAACTGCTGCAGCAGATCTCATTTTACAAAGCTCAGACACGTCTCCATCCGTACTGACGTGAATAATGTGGTTGCCTTGCAAAGACTTGGTACTTAGAGAAAGAGTGGGCAACCATCAGAAAGGAAGGAAAGAATAGAACATTCTGTGTTAGGAGTCGGTTTCCTCCTAGCCACATAAAATATCAGTGTTTTGTCTTGGAGAGAAAACCTCATACAGAAGCTCCTAGGACCTGGCTCACCTTACAGATACTTTTCATGCTGATGCAGACATTCAAGCATCTTCTTCTTTGACCCAATGAGTTTTGCCTTTTGGTACCTGGAGAGATTTTTGAGCCCCTGCAAATTTGACAGTGCAGCTTCCTGATAACTATGGATGGCTTTTTATTTTTTTTATTTATTAAAGATTTCTGTCTCTTCCCCACCGCCGTCTCCCCTTTCCCTCCCCCTCCCCCAATCAAGTCCCCTTCCCTCCTCAGCCCAAAGAGCAATCAGGGTTCTCTGCCCTGTGGGAAGTCCAAGGACCACCCACCTCCATCCAGGTCTCGTAAGGTGAGCATCCAAACTGCCTAGGCTCCCACAAAGCCAGTACGTGCAGTAGGATCAAAAACCCATTGCCATTGTTCTTGAGGTCTCAGTAGTCCTCATTGTCCGCTATGTTCAGTGAGACCGGTTTTAACCCAGGCTTTTTCAGACCCAGGCCAGCTGGCCTTGGTGAGTTCCCGATAGAACATCCCCATTCTCTCAGTGTGTGGGTGCACCCCTCGCGGTCCTGAGTTCCTTGCTCGTGCTCTCTCTCCTTCTGCTCCTGATTTGGACCTTGAGATTTCAGTCCGGTGCTCCAATGGATGGCTTTTTAAAGTTTGAATAGCATTCAAGACATTTGAAACCTAAAAAGTATTTTTGCTACCATTGGTTTACATTATTGTTGATGTCCCTTCTTAGATTGTGTGTGTGTGGTGGGCTGGTGGGGTTGTACACTCTTGTGTGAGTGTATGTGCTTGTGTGTTGTGGTGAGGTCAGAAGTCATCTTTGAGTGTTGGTCCTCTGGAGCCATTTATCTCAGACTTTTAGACAAAGACTTGAAGCTTACCAATTATGCCGGGCCAGCAAGCCTCAGGGATCCACCTGCTTCCCTCTCCCTGTGATAGATGACAGGCCCACACCATTACGCTTGACTTTTCACATGGGTCCTGGAGATCAAACATAGGGCCTTATGCTTGCGAGACAAGCACTTTACCAACTGAGCTATTGCTCCTGCAGCTCTGCCCCTTAGCTGTTTAAAAGTTACTCAAGTATTCCTCTCACTTACTGATTTGCATAAATGAGGGGCCTGAGGAAAGCTGAATGCATCTTATTACCAGCTCGTCCAGTGTCACTGCCTTCTGGATACAGACTTGCCTTCACCAGTCTGTGCCGTGCCTGCCCGAGCTGCACCACCTGCCTTGGTGAAGGCTCAGTGATACGTGGGAGACACTGAAAGGTACAGGAAGCATTGTTAATCTAGAATTTAACAGGGTGATCTCTAATCTCCTCTCGCTGTTTTCTCATCTGTAGTCTACAAACTGGGCACTGAGGATGTTTGTACGTTCCCTAAGGAGTTTGTCTCTAGCTTCCTGGAAGAAGACAGTCATTGCATTTGCTTAGATCACTCCCTTCTGAAAGTATTGAGCCATTTCAAAGTCTGGCTACAGCCCCTGCTAGATAACAACAAAGGGAAGAGGCCAGTTTTAAAGCTTTGGCTGATGTTTCCGTCAGCTCTGTGTGAGTACTCTGATAAACTGGGCACACACTTCCTACCAGGCCTGTTCCCAACTCTGTGCTTATGTAAAATGCTCTTTAGGTGAAATGTTTTAGGGTTCCACAAATGGTTGTTACTCTGTGTCAAAGGAGAGGTGATCTCATAGAAAAGAATTATAAAGAGTATAAATGAAGGTGAACAGTTAGTTTCTAGATGAGAAATACGGAGGCATGGCACCTAAAAATGAAGTGTGGGTGACAAAGCTAATGCCTTAAATGAAAGCAAAGATCATAGGTGACCCCACTCTGTCCCGTTGTGTGAGGAGAGAATTAACGTTCTGCAAAGAATTGAAAATCTATTTTAAGAAGGTATACTTCATCTTAGAAAACATTTGAGAGTACCAATGGAATATTTTGAGGAAGTAATTATTGTCAGAGGCTGTTTATGGAAGTAAGTGGTAAATTTCCATTTAGTGAAAAAGTTGGCCAGGCTCTAGAGAGATGGCTGAGCAGTTAAGAGACTGGGTGCTCTTCTACAGGACTTGGGTTCAGTTCCCAGGACCCATGCTGCTGCTCACAACCAGGAGATCTGACTCCCTGCCTGGCCTCTGTGGGCACCAGGTACATAGTGGTGCATAGACATGAACACTGTGAGGGCAGCTGGGCTTTTGTCAGAAGCACTGGACTTGCAGGAAGGGAGATGGTGTGCACATGGTGGATTTTGTAGATTGTAACAGATGTGAGAATTGCGGCAAGAGCATGCCAGGGACAGTAAACACGTTCGAGCGAGAGGAACTGAGATGGTCTTTTAAGGATCTTAAAATCCCCGCACACTTCCTGCAGTTCATGCTATAAAAACAGTGTGTGGCGTGTTAAACCTCATGGCGCTCAACTGCTTCCTTACTTCCTGTTGCCACATGGATCTGGCGGGAGAGTCAGCTAAGACCCCATCCCTGCCTCACCCCTGGCCCTCACGTGGAAACCATGGCACGGCAGCCGGAAACTGCCAGGGCACCTTTGTATGGAAGTTCAGGGTTGGAAGGGTTCGAGGGGAAAGGGGTATATAGGGCACGGCACAAAGGGAGAAACTGGTGTTGACAGAGGGAGCCCAGAGTCGACTGTCATAGAACTAAGCCAGGCAGCTTTGAAGCCATCCTTGTGTTGATGTCATTAACAGTCTTTAGTAGGAGCTGTCAACAGACAGCAATAACTTTTAATGAGGTCTTCAAAATAAAACCTTTATGGTGCTCATGTGTTAGGATTGCTATGAGCCGTTATTCTAACCCTGTGCTCTGTTTCCCTCTTATATTGTGATTTATTGTATTTAGGTTTTTGCTGACTAATTTCTTAGAGACTGTGTTTTACATACTAGACTATTATCCTAGCACTGCTAATTTCAGTGACTTCTGTTTGCTGCATCTAGCATGATTCAAGAGAAAGGTTTAATTTAGCCACAGGAAATTGAAAGCATAGGAATATAATTATTATTTTTTATTTAAGAATGGCCAGAAGAGTGGGCAGGTGCAGAACTTTACCTGTGAAATTATATTGGCAAGTATGATTTGTGTGAGCACCGTAAGAACATAGCAGGAACACAGTAAGAACATAAAAGTCATGGGTCTGGATTATGTGGATAAAGGAGCAATTTAGGACATGGGGAAGAGTGGCCATCGGCAAAGTTGAGATTGCACTTTTAGACAAGAGACCTCATCATGTGTCTGTTTTTGAAAGCGGAACATCAGAATATCAATTCTGGTAGGATGGTCCTTAGAAGAGGCAGTCAGTCATTGCTAAGTCCTAAAAAAAATGCTGCATTTTGCGATGACTCATGGATATTGTTAGTTCCACATATTTCTTGGTCTTTTGCAGTAGGTTGCATCCGCAGGGCCTTGTTCTTCACCGAGCTCCCTGATTCCTGTAGTTGCTCCCTTCTAGACTTCTTTGTTTGGCTTACCACCCATGCACGGGCAGTCATTTGTGCCCTAATTTTGTTTTTCAGATAGCAAGCTTTGTGAACAAATCTGCCATAGACATCTCAATCCTGCAGAGGTCCTTGGCCATTTTGGAGTCAATGGTTCTCAACAGCCATGATCTCTACCAGAAGGTAGCCCAGGAGATCACCATCGGCCAACTTATTCCTCATCTTCAGGGGTAAGCACGCTAGGCACTCTTGTGCCGTGTTTCTGGAGGACAATCACTCGGATGGCTTGATAAACACTGTGTGCTGGTTTAGTTACATGCACAAAAAGCTTTGGTTTGGTACCAAACCAGGTGCTCCTCTTATCGTCATCACACTGCAATGGCACAGTGACTCTGTGCTCCACATCTGCGTCCCCAGTGCCTAGACCGTAGGACACACTCAGCTCTGGTGAATTTTGAGAGACATCGATTGAGTTGTCCTTCTTAGAAGACGTACTAGGACCATTTCTTGTTTAGGGTCTCAACAGTCTGCCCTACCTATAGAATATTTTCTGTTGCACAGGGACTATTTTTATAATTACTTTGACATTTTAAGTAGGATTTTCTTTTAGATTTAATTTTTAAAATACGTTCTTTGAGAATTTCATACAGTGTGTTTGGATTATATTCATTCTCCTCCCCCAGCTCCTCCCAGGTCTTCTCCACTTGCTATCCATCCCACTTCATGGTCTGTCTCTCCTAGTCTAGATCTGCTTTCCCCTTCCCTTCATGATCTCTCTCTACTTCCCTGGCTTCTGTAGTTACTCCAGATTAATATGTTTTGAAACCTAATGATTTGGAGCTAGGATCCATATATGAGAAAGCACATGAGGCGTTTGTCCTTTTGAGTCCAGGTCACCATAACTGAGATATTTAAAGGGAGGCTTCTTTCACCAATAAAATGATGAATGAGTAAAACACATGGATTTCATTGCTTAAAAGCCTAATTAGGATGTGGAAGTTAGACAATTACCCTCAAGTCCTGCAATCTTTGGGGCTTTCTACTTTCTGGTAAACTAGAAGGGTGTCTCTAAAGAGAACCCTGAGGGGTATTCTGTTGTGTGATGTGGCTTGTTGTATTTAAATACTGGTCACTTCTGGTGCAAGAAAACATTGTAAGCCAACTCACACAAGAAGGGAGTTAGGAGGTCATGAAGATGCCTTGTAGAGGCCGGAAATGATTTAAGGAGATGTGTTTTAGGAAATTCTTAGACCGGCATCAAGGGGACCTGGCTCCCAAGGACTCTCACCTCTGTTATCTCCGAGGTTCTAGCGTTTTGGCTTATTCTTAAGAATTAACCTAACCGGACCATGGGGTATGGTGATCTAAGAGCAATGTAAGGATCAGTCCAGCAGTTCTCTACACACTGAAGATGCTGACATACGTTTATAGCATAACCTACAAAAGTACAGTAGATGTTAATTTATTTGGAAGTATGGGGATGAGCAGAATTTCAAACTTAAGTCAGAGACGCTGTGACTGTCCCCTGAGACTCAGCTCACTCCCCAGAAGGACAGTTCTGTATGCATTCTCCCTGAAAATGACACTGCTTCGCTGTCTCTGAGTGTGAACATTGTTGACTTCACTGTTCGAAATTTTATTTCTGAATCTCAGGGCCACAAATGTTCATTTGCAGTGCAGTTCACTACAAAAAAAAGGAGCCTGTTGTTCACCAAGTGCTATGCTAAGGATGGAGGTGCAGTTTCTAATTTTGTCTTCTGTACAGCAACCCTGGGAAATAGCATCTTCCCTAAGTGCAGCTCCGAGGCTCGTGGTTTCTGTCTTGAGCCCTTATTTCCTGCTGCCACTTGGCTTCCCCCAGATCTTTGCTTCCTTTGGAATTTCTGCTCTCTTTCCAGTAAAAAAGCAAATTTTTACAACAAAAATTGCCAACACTTATTGCTATTACGAGGATTCTGTTTGCCAACGACTTTATAGGCTATATAACATTACCATGGGAACAAAGCTGTTTCCTTTTAGATAAGCCCAGGAATGTTGAGACATCTACAGCTGCTCCCTCACGTGTATCAGGCATTGAACAGAAAATTACACACACACACACACACACACACACACACACCTACCTTACAATGTCTGGTACTTGATAAAGAAAGCAGAGTCAGGCAACTAGCCTCATGAACGGTCTCCTTTGATCACCTAGTAGAATAGTAGCTGAGTATCTGCTCTGTCCAGCCCAGGCATGCTGGGAATGCATTGCCAGTGCTGCCCACATTTTCTAGGTGCCACCTTTCTCATTGGTGAAGGACTGCGGCGATTGTGTGTGATACTGATTTTTCCCATGGGCTGACTCAGGGCTAGCCTCTTCTCATTTCCTGTCTTGTTTGGCTTGTTCCAGGACAGATCAAGAAATCCAGACTTACACTATTGCTGTAATCAACGCGCTTTTCCTGAAGGCCCCTGACGAGAGGAGGCAGGTGAGTGACAGTTCTCTAGTCCCCAGGCTGTGATGAGGATTGGGGCTGGGAACTCTCCTTGAAGACATGATTTCTTCTTCCTCTCTCTCTGTAAGCTGTCTGAAGGTGGGTGCTACAGAGCAGCCATATGCTATGCAGGTTGGCCAGGACACGGGAGGAGAAAGTAGCTGAAGATGCATAAATGCTTGGCTGGGGAGGAACACTAGGAGTGTGGCAGCAAGAAAGTCTTTTCCTGTGAAGTGTATAGGCTGGGAGCATGAAGACGGAGAAGCATTGCTGCTCTGGTAGAGTCAGATGTGGAAGCCCCTGGCATCTGTCATTATCATTGGATGGTCACTGGGGTTCCCATTTGCTTGTGGGTGCTTTACTTGGCCCAAGTCATGGGTAGAGAAGCAGGTGAGAATGAGAAGGGACTCCTAGATTGCTCACTGGCTGAGATTACCACTTTCAAATGTCAGGGAACTAACGCTCTGCTTGGTGATGTGCTTCTCCTGGCTTGTGAATGTGGCTCGGAGACTATTAAAAGGAGGAACCCTTCAACTATACCCATTTTAAACTAATAATTTGATGCTTTTCTTGGTCTATAGTTTCTGTTTCTTAAATGAAGAAAGGACCATTGCTGAGGCAGATTGTTGAAATAGGAGCGGCGGGGCTGCGTCCCCAGCACCCCAGCCGCCTGCTAGCTTATGCCCGAAATAACAACACACGAACTATATTCATTTAAAGACTGCTTGGCCCATTTCTATCTAGCCTCTTCTCAGCTAACTCTCACACCTGGACTAGCCCATTTCTAATAATTGTTTGTAAGCACCCCAAGGTGCGCTTACCGGGAAGATTCTAGCCTACGTCCATCCTGGGTCGAAGCTTCATCGCGTGTGCCTCAGAACGCAGAGCGCAGAGCTATCGCGTCTACCCAGGAGAGCTGAGCATGGCGTCTCTGCTCCAGAGAGCAGAGCTGTCGGGTCTGTCTGAGGAGTCTTACCTCACTTCCTCTTCCTCCTGTTTACTCCTCCCACCTATGTTTTAACCTATCAGGGCAAGCAGTTTCTTTATTTAATTAACCAGTGAAATCAACAGATTGATATATGACACTCCCACATCAGCAGATTTGGGGAAAGTGGCATTTTTGCCGTCTTGGATTCTAGCTCAGACTCCAGAGCGCTTTTCTGTTTAGTGGTCTGTGCAGCACGTGTTGTCTTGACCAAAGTTCTCTTCTTTGAAGGCCTGGGTGGAAGGATGCCTCTTCGTATCTCTAGAAAGGCCGTCAAGAGTTCCACAGCACTGCCAAGATCTTGTTTCAGGAAGATAGAAAGGCAACGTGCTCCTGAATTTATTTTATGGTTTTTTTTTTTTTTTTTTTTTGTTTCCTAGGGTTTTAACCTGTAGCCTGTAAATGTGATAGATTCTGACTTAACTTGAAGGTGAACTTGGCAGGTTGAAGTGGAGTTGTGGGTGGGGTGCACTTTTGTTTGCTGAACTCATGATAAGTCCCAGGCAGCCTGGGAAGAAGGTATATCACCGACCATGCATTAGAGGAACATTGTCCCTTCGCCATACAATCAAGGACTTCCAACAAAACCACATGGTTCCTGAGTTACAAACTTGCATTCTGGGCGGAACTCTTAGAAGTTTATGGAACTTTTAGGTCAGGGTAAACAAAAGTGAAAGTGTATGGATCTTTGGAGTTGGACTTGAGTAAAATGAATATACCTTATGTTTTTTTGTATCCTATGCTGAACACCATTGTCACCTTATTGAATTGAATTCTCTGATCTTGGGCAAATAAGAAATCAGATATCAATCTGTTCTGATTTCAGGTCATTGATAATAATGGAAATAAAAACAAATAATGGAAATAAAAACAAATTAGGTATGGATTATGTGAATCACTTTTTGAAATTATTCAAATGGGAATCACACACATTTTTTTTACCAAGCATTGTTATGATAGTAACAAACCATCACAAAATATTGATTAATAACCTTAAGTCATTTAATAAACCAATCAATGTACAGTATAATCCAGCAGAAATCTGCAGACTATTATATAACTTGCTAGTATTTGAAATAAGTTAGCAATAAGGTCTTTACTTTCTATGCAAAGTTAATGTTGACTCTATAAGTCACTGAATTTAAGACTTGCTCATCAGAACAGGGGAAGTATGGCTTTTAAATGTAAAAAAATACCTGAGTAAGTTAGGAGAGCAAACCTAGAAGGTCAAGACCCAGGTTCATGATGACCCTACTTTTGGTTGCTCAGTGGAGGCCTGTAAAATGGGAATTACTCTAACTGCTTACCTGGGTTGCCGTGGATTGTATCGACAGCTGAGGGAGAACACCTTTATCTGAACTTGACCTTAGATGCACAATAGCATTTGAGCTGGTCTAAAGTGATATTGGTAGTGTTTCTGGTATCATTTTTGCATTAAGGGAAGAGCATGTTATTTCCAATTTACAAATGAGGAAACTGAGGCTCCAAGGGAGGAAAGACCCTGACCAGTGACCGGTGGTCACCACAGTGGTGAGAGCCAGAGCTGGGAGCCCCGCCTCCTACTCGCTTTTAAAAGCGAAGAAACGGGAATCTCCTACAGTAGAGGCTTCCCAGACATCACGAGGAAATGAGGTCTGCTTTCTCATTCCAATTAAACTATTAGCTAAGTGTTTGTGCTTTCAATTTTTACAGAATACTCCCTTTAAAAAATCGATGATTAAGCCTAGGGCATTGGATCAATTCTGCTACAGTCAACATCTTTCCTTTGATGCCTCTTTCCTGCTTGGGGGCCAGACATGGTCAGAGCACTCCATTATCAGGATTTTTTTTATTTTATTTTCTAAATGTATGCAATGAATTTGGAATAACTAAGCTTTGGTGTCTTCCTTGGGGTAGTGGTTGTGCTGTCCCTCCCCTTGGGGAATCCTTTCTTTTCTTTCCTTCCTTCCTTCCTTCCTTCCTTCCTTCCTTCCTTCCTTCCTTCCTTCCTTCCTTCCTTTTTTTTTTTGTTGTTGTTGAATTTTTTGAGACAGCGTTTACAGTCCTGACTGTCCTCGAACTCAATGAGATCCGCCTGCTTCTGCCTCCCAAATGCTGGGATTAAAGACATGTGCCACCACCGCCCCATGGGGAATCCTTTCTTGCTGCTCAGATGAAGGGAATTTCTGCTTTGGTTTTGTCTGGGAAGGCGTGACTGCTTGCTGGGCAGGTGGATCTTTTTCTTTGCTTGCTGTTTTAATGGAAGACGTGTTGAGAAGTTGCTTTTCAAATTTTTCTACAAATACATAATGTTTTTATAAGAATTATTTGAAAATGTCTTTTATGTAACACATTCAGAAAAGGCAAATTCAAACTGCAGAAGGCTGAAAGGTCCCAGGGTGGCCCCCTGCAGCTCTCACTGCTGAGACCCATTCCTGGCACTAATACCTCTTTATTCTTCCTTTATTTCTTCCACTTGTATGTTTTTCCCGCCAGAGTTAGCCATTTCTATTTACAAAACTACTTTTAAAACCAACAAAGATATGTGTGGCCCGATTCCCATGTCAGTATACTTGTATATTTCCCTGTGTATACTTGTATCATTTAAGGCTTTAATATGTTCCCTGCAAGCTCTCATCATTATTCAAACAGTTCACTAATATTAGACATATATCCATGAGGAGATCAAGTATACTTTTGTTTCCTCTCTGATCTAGCTCCTATTCTTAAGGAGAATTGTATAAAATACTTTTGATCTTTGATCAAACCTTTTTTCTGTCTGTTCATTGTTAAACATCAACCCTTGGGTTTGGAATAGAAAGAATGAGGCATCCTCTGCATCCTTGAGGTGCCCCAATCAGAAGAATTGTGTAAACAAATACGCAGATGATGAAACTGTCTTATTTCTTCTAATTCACTTTTATATTGTGTGAAATAATGAGCTACTTTTTCGTTTCCCATTTTTGTTGGTCTGATTATTGAATGGTACTTTGATTTTATAAATAATTTTATGAAGTTTTAAAAAAATTAAAAGAGCTGTGGGATCCTTTGATTCTTCTATTTGTTATCTGGAGCAAGAGAAGGAATATGACATAGAAGAAGCCAGTGGGCCCTGTGTTTATGTGGAAAGAGAATACCGCTTTCTCCAGTGTGGAGGGTGGGTCTATTGGGTTGCCACTCAGATTGTTTCTGGAGGTGTACATGGTCCTCATTTTTGGTTTTAAGAGTGCAGAAGAGGACCTCGGACTGGTCACTTAGGCTGTTCTGAGAGTATCTCCACCCTTTCCAGTGCAGAGGGCCCGCAGGGCCTGACACCCTAGCTGCCCCCTTCTAATGGAGCGCGCTCTGAACTTCCATCCCCTCTTCTCTCCTGCTTGCGTTCCTCTCTGTGGTGGTGATGGCGCTGTTAGGTTGATGTAGAGAGCAATGTTGACATCCTTGATTGTCCTCTGACTGTAAGTCACCATGTTTCCTTTGTCAACCTAGATAAATGGACCCTGCTCTCCCGTTCTGCTCCTGCCCTCCTTGCCTGTATGACCCCTGTTAGCTTCTCTCCCCATGCTCTTGATTCTCCCAGCTTTCTGCAAATTTAATTTAATCTTGGTAGAATTTATAGTTTTGCTTTGTAGTGGTAGTTTGGTGCATCTCTACTTAGGGAGAATTGCAATGCCAACAATACTCCCCAGCAACCACAAAAAAAGAATATTTGGGTGTCTTCCTGAATATAAGCAGTATTTTCATATTCTCTGAAAGTTTCAAAGCCGGTTTTTACTAATTTTCCCTGAGTACTTGCTGGCCAGTATTCCTAAAGATAATCTTTGAATCAGGCCTCTTCCAGATTACGTCCTGTGTCTATGATAGACACCAGGACCAAAAAAGCATCTTGGGGAAGAAGGGATTTATTTCAGCTTACAAGTCACAGTGAGGGAGGCCAGGGTAGGAACTCCAGCAGGAACCATGTGGGCGTTCTTCTCGCTGGTTTGCACCCAAGCCCTTGATCAGCAAGCTTAAGCATTCCAGCCCCAACTCCCTGGGGATAGCTCTAGCCACATAGTTAGCAATCAAGAAAATGCCCCACAGACTTGCCCGCAGGTAAATCTGGTCCAAACACTTATTCAGTTAAAGTTCTGGTTTTCTAGGTGTGTCAGGATGAAAACTAGGATTAGCCATTACAAGTCCAAATTCTCCGAACCAGTGCAATGGAACCCTCAGAATGCTAAGTGCAAAGTAGAGAAGCTAGGCTGAGCCAGCTGAATGCCTCTGTCTAGTTGTTATCCTTCCATCATTCAGACCCAGATCCCTGGTATAGCTTCCTCCAAGTCTAGGGTCTGGGGTCCTCATTCTCATTTTGCACAAATTACGATGAACTGGCTTTCAACATTTGACTTTTACTTTCCATTTTTTTTGGTTGGTCTGTTTATTTATTCTTTTCTAAGTAAATTTACAAAGTTAAAATGTACTGATAGGACCTGTGGGAGACAGAGACAGCCTCACGGGGGCAAACTATTTCTGTCCTTTGGAGTGTTTGAGTTTTTAATTCTTTTCTAGAAAAAAAAAACAAACAGAAATTAAAAAAAAATTACTTTTCTTTTGGACCTGGATTTTATAATCCAAGTGGAATGTACAAAAATTGATTTAAATGGATTATTTCCTAAGAAATACTGCTGATATACAGTGAAGAAGCACGCCCAGGATGAGGTCATTCCTGCTGTATGGAAGGGAGCCTTTCTAACCGAAGCCTTCTGTGGCCGTGTTTTTCCTTCACAGGAGATGGCTAATATCTTGGCTCAGAAGCAGCTGCGCTACATCATTTTAACAGTGAGTACCTATGTGTGCCAAAGCCACTGTGCCGGGGAGAGATGACCTGGCGTTTGTGGGTTGTTCTGGGATTTGCCACTGGAGTTCATCAATAGGACCAGGCAGGGAGGGGGAGGGTGTTTTAGAATTGCCACAGACAGTAACCTGCTGCAGCAGCTGCCTTTGTTGCTGGAGGGCAGAGTCATCCTGCTGGAGGAAGTCAAGCAGGGCATCAGCTTGACTGCTGGTCCCTGGGCTTAGTTTTGCAGGAAAAGGAAATCGGGGACGCCTCGGCTCAACCAATCCACCAGTATGAGCTTGTTCTGGTTTTGATGAGGAAGCTAGTTGGAAGGATGGAAGGTCCTGAGAGAAGATCCTTAAACCTCAGCAGAAAAGAAGCTCTCATTGTTAACCTTGTAAATGTTTAGAGATGAACCAAACAGAGAGGGTTCTTTATTACCTCCCTACTGGTTATTGGGGGGAAGCAAGTTTAATGTTTATCAAACTACCAAACAGCAACAACCCAATCTGATGTTATAACTCTGGAGCTCAGCAAGCTTACACACACGCGCGCGCGCACACACACACACACACACACACACACACACACACACACACGTGTGTTGCCATTGTTCAGGTACATTGCTGCAGTAAGGAGAAGAAAACAGATTAAAAGGCCACTGCCACCATAGAAAACTGGTGACAAAAGTTTCACTGAAGGAGTGGCATGTCTTACAAGAAGGGGTGTGCTGTACCATGGGAGCCACACAAGAAGGAGGACCCAGGGTACAAGACAGACACAGGAAAATGTGGGCCAGAGCCTGTACCATGATTTCCTAGGGAAGGGATGCTTCAAGGAACACATTCCAGCAAAGTGGCTATTCAGGTTCAGGATTGGCTAGCTTGGTGGTTGCAGTGGGCTGTGGAGTTCGTGGGTTGTGTCTAGTCCCAGGGTACTGGACTCTGGGTGTTCAGGACACTAGAGGGTAGCCTTAGCCATCTTCGTTTGCACAGCAAAGTTTTCTTCCTGTGGCATGGGGTTTGGGTGAAGGTTCTTCTGGGTAAGGAAGAAGTCAGGTGTCAGAACTTCAGAATCACGACAAGAGTTAACTTTGTGTTCTAAAGCCTTTCTCTACTAATTCTTAAAAATCTGATTTGTCAACCACGTCTCTAGCATGTCATCCGAGCGCAGCGGGCCATCAACAACGAGATGGCACACCAGTTGTATGTGCTCCAAGTGCTGACCTTTAACCTTCTGGAAGACAGGATGATGACCAAGATGGACCCCCAGGACCAGGTGAGTGGGGGCTCCCCACAAGTGAAAGCAATGACAGAGACAGTGTCATCAAATACCCCTCCTTGAGCTACTCTGAAATCAGAAGTTTGATGGATTTTATAATCGTTTTATTGACATCATAGGACATGGGTATGTGACTTTAAAGTCTGGGTGAACCTAGGATCAGCAAATAAAATCCCTGAGGCTCTGTATACATACGTGTTCTTCGTTTCTGGCCAAGAGCTTGAGGGTAAAGCCCCCGGGCTTTTGACCATAATACATTAAATGGAGTCAAGTTCCCAGACAACTGAGGGGACATGGAAAAGCCAAGTGTGGCATCACTTCTACAAGCGGGGAGCAATTTCCATCCTCTAGTAACTGAGACCCTGGGCCGAGAGGGAAGACCTCTTCCTTTCCTTCTGCGACTTCTCATTTCTAGGCTGACATTTTTGTTGGCTGGCTATTTGCTCTAACTCCCTGCTACCTCTCTCACTGCGTATAGAACATTCTGTTTCCATCCCGAAGGCTTTGAGGCAGCTTCCCTGAATGAGGGTAGAGTGAGAGGAAACAGCTGGAAACCCTGCCTCCCAAGCCCCTGCTGTACACATTTTCAGCTCACAGAGCCCTGCAGCTTTGCAGAGGAAAACATTCATTATTGGCACGTGAGGGCCTGATCTATTGCAGATGTGGAGCCGCACGTGTTGAGTGTGTGGCCGCTGCAGCCCTTCATCCATGGGGAGAGGCTGTGTGATGAAGAGTGATGGGGAGGCTTAGAGAGGCCAAGGGTCGTGCCCCAAGTTTTTTGTCAGGCCAAGCATGGTAATCCCAGGGAGATAAGACTGTTATCTTGCTACTTGGACCAGTGCATCTTAGTGTGGAGGGAGGGGCCAGTGCATCTTAGTGTGGAGGGAGGGGCCAGTGCATCTTAGTGTGGAGGGAGGGACCAGTGCATCTTAGTGTGGAGGGAGGGACCAGTGCATCTTAGTGTGGAGGGAGGGACCAGTGCATCTTAGTGTGGAGGGAGGGACCAGTGCATCTTAGTGTGGAGGGAGGGGTCAGTGCATCTTAGTGTGGAGGGAGGGACCAGTGCATCTTAGTGTGGAGGGAGGGGTCAGTGCATCTTAGTGTGGAGGGAGGGACCAGTGCATCTTAGTGTGGAGGGAGGGGTCAGTGCATCTTAGTGTGGAGGGAGGGACCAGTGGATCTTAGTATGGAGGGAGGGGTCAGTGTATCTTAGTGTGGAGGGAGGGACCAGTGGATCTTAGTGTGGAGGGAGGGACCAGCGCATCTTAGTGTGGAGGGAGGGGGACCAGTGCATCTTAGTATGGAGGGAGGGGTCAGTGTATCTTAGTGTGGAGCGGCGCTCTTTGGAAACTCTTTCTCCTGTTTATTGATTTATCATCTTAAGCAGTAAATGCATTCACATTCCTGTAAATCTTGCTGCGGTCATCTCCAGGCCTCATTTTTTTTTTGTTGCCAAACTGAATTTCTGTGCCCATGAAACCATATTTGCTCTCCTCCCATTGCTCCCCGTCCTTCTGGCTCCCTCTAAATCGCTGCTCTGCCTCCTGTCCCTTTTATTTGACTACTTTAGGAAGACCCAATAAGTAAAAAAATATTTGTCACTTTGTAGCTAGACTTTCTACACTATTTTTATTATTATTTTTCATGTCTTAGATTACAGTATAATTGCATTGTTTACGCATCCCATTCCTTCCTTCAGTACCTTCTATGTACCTACTTCCCTTGCTCTCAAATTCATGGCCTCTTTTTCTTTAGTTCTTTTTATGTGTGTGTGTTTATTCCGAAATACCTAAACACAACCTTCTCCATCCATATAACATGACTTGTGTGTGTGATTTGTGTGTGCTGACCATCGGGTACTGGATAACCAGTTGGTGTGCTCTTCCCTGGGGAAGACTGCTTCCCCCACACTTAGTATCCCTTAGTTTCCTGTAGTTGTCTGCACAGGGCGGAGGCTTGAGAGCTTCTCCTCCAGGTCAGCATGTCTCTTGGCGTTGTCCTTGTTCGTTCAGGTGTTCTTTTGGCAGCCACGTTGGTGAGACTTTATTGTTGTACCTTCCCTGATATTTCTAGAAGACACAGTCCTACAGCATACTCGCAAGGTTCTTTTATATGGTAATGTGTTAGAATTCGCTCCTGTCTGAGGCTGAGCAATACCCCACCTATGTCTGTAACCAGACTCACCCTTGGAAGTCCACGTGGCATTGTTTCTGTCTTTTGGGCTCTTCCTTTATTTTTACGGTGTGGTAGTTTCCATGAGTCAGGCCTTGGTGGGGTGAGAGATCCATCGAAGCTCAAATGCTGCTCACCAACCTTGTGTGCCTCTTACTTTGCTTCAGACAGAACATTGCTCGCAGATTCTCCGACCTAGACTCCTCCCGTCACGGCCCTTGCGTTGTGTTAGGGGCTTTTAGGTAGGATTGCCCTGGCTAATTGTTATCAGTACTGCAATGGACTTGGCTGAAGGACAGCTGTAGATCAGTGCCAAGCCCGCGAAGCACAGAGAGCCTTCTCTCACTTAGGACATGGGTCGTCTCTTGAGTGCAGCGATTCCCTTAGACTCTGGGGAAGCGGGGTTCTTATGTCGCAGCACACAGTGAAAGCAGCTTTCCTTTATGCCCTTTTCCCTCTCCCCAACTCCTTCAGGCTCAGAGAGACATCATCTTTGAACTTCGAAGAATTGCTTTCGACGCCGAGTCGGAACCGAACAGCAGCAGCGGCAGCGTGGAGAAACGCAAGTCCATGTACACGCGGGATTATAAAAAGCTCGGCTTCATTGTAAGTCCGGTGTCTCCCGCGAGCTCACCCCCTCCGCCCCTCCCCCGGCGGACCTCAGTCGCAGCGAACGTGTGGTCCTCTTGTGCCGTACAGAAGGGTTTCCACGTTTCCAGATGTTTCGCTGGTTTAAATAGGATCACATGCAGATCTCTTCTGGCTGCGGTGAAACGGAATAAGTTACACAAGTGTGACTAATACTGCCCTTGTTTGTGCAGTTCTGATTTTAAGTGTAACCGAGGGTAGCTAGCCCCGGGATGCATCGAGCCTTCCTGAGTGAGCCTCCTTCCTAAGATGCTGTGGTTTTCCCGGGCTGAGTGAGCGATGGCAGTTCTGGGATGCGTCTTATTACTGGGTTGGTGATTGGATTGCTCACACGGTTGATTCCGTGTCGAAAGAGAGCCGGACCTCTCCTGGAACTGAGTCATGATGAGATTTATACACAGTTTGTTTTTTAAGTCTTATTTTGCTACGAATGTTAATGGTTGGTTTACACACCACATGCATGTGCGCACGCACGTGTGTACACACACACACACACACACACACACTTTACAAATCAGAACACGTCTTGAGTCTAGCCTTGCTGTTGTCGCCTGCATTTTACTCTTACCCCGAGTGTCACAAGTTTGGGAGTGACCTTTAGCTAACTTGAAATTAAGTTTCCATTTCAACCTCCGTCATTAATTACACAAGTAAGATTTTGGCTTTAGTGGTTAGAAATCACTAGGCAGTGGTTTTTATTTCAGATGCTCTTTGGAAAAAAATCTCAACTAGCTTTTGATTGCGCCAAATTGCTTTCAATAAGCATCCAGTCATTCACATTTTATCTAGAATGGGTCAAAGGGACCATTTTTCAACCCTTCATAATGTCTCTTTAATTAAAAAAAAAAAAAGTCCGAGCTATTGGTTTTGTAGTGTAGATCTCTCCAAATAAGAATGTTTAAAGATAACGTATTCAACTTTGCAGCTTATTTAAAAATGTTTTTTGGCGTTATTTCTTCCACGTCTCATATCTTTAGTTGAATTGAGTTGACTGGTGGGGCTTCCTGTGTCTTGGTATCCATAGGTGTCACCTCCTTCACCTTTGCCTTAGCCCTTTCACAGAGGTGCAGCCCAGTTAAGGTGGACCCCATCCCCTCCCACTTCACCTCCTCTGCCTTAAGGTGGACCTCATCCCCCTCCCGCTTCTCCTCCTCCGTCCTCCAAGGTTTCCTTCTGTGTGGGGCGAGCAAGACACATCTATTTTACTTGGAAGCAGTGCAGGATCATCTGGTCTGTTTTATACACAAATCATCAAAATTGCCACATGGAACTCATCCTGGCACGGATCTCTCTTGAATCATGTACCAGCTATCAACACAGTGTTTGCTCTGTGTCCTGTTTATCTGCCCAAGGTCCTGCTGGATCCAGACTGCAGTAAGGAGGCCAGAGGAGAGCAGAAAACAGAGGATGCTGGGTGTCTCTGAGAGAGAAGTCAGGGTGTCTGGGTGGGGGCAGGAAGGGTCATCGTGGTGTTTCCAGCCTGTGGATCTATATCCTGAGCCGAGGGATGAGCGATTTTCCCTGGGTTGTGCTGTCTGCCCTAGCGTTATTGGTAAATCCAATCCCACTTCCGTTTTCAGCTGTAGGTGGCTGTTGACCTTCTGTTTTGTACCTGTTCAGTTTCTTGAGTATGCGATGGGCAAGGGTGGAGCTTTTTCACCGAAAGTCAATTTGATGTGATTCTGAGGACTCTCGAATTTATGTGGCAGTATCGGCAGTTCTTTTTTTGGGGGGAGAAGGGAGACTTTCACTAGAGAATATCCCAGAGGGAACGCTGCGTTCCTTCATTTTTTTTCCACGAATTTTTTATTTTAAAAACCTCCCTAGAAGTGTCTCCTCAGGCCGAGGCCAGGGCCTTGCATCAGAGGGTTGAGAAGTTGGAAGACCGTTGAGGAATGAGCTATGCTGAAAAGGGGCCAACCATGTTGACACGCTGATCCTTCACTGGTGAACCCCGGGCCTGGCAGAAACAAGCCTGGGTACAGATTCACAGGCTCGGTCTGCCACCTAGCGGCCGCTCTGCAGAACTGCTGCAGACTTGTTGGCAACTTTCCCCTCCATGGTCTCAGCAGACCTGTGTTGAATTCTTTATCAGTCAAGGCAGCTGGGATAGTTATGTCGAGACCCCCAGGTGATTTGATTTTTTTCTTTTCTTTCCTTTTTTTTTTTTGTGAAGCGTAAGTAGGCGTTATTTGTCCTGCAATTAGTGTTTACTACTTTCAGCAATGACTAGCTGTGAATCAAGCAGTTTGGTGAAGAGTGAACCAGTAGAAGTACACTCCTATCAACCACACGCTTTTGAATATAAACAGTTTAAGATTAGCTTTTAGAAAATACCATAGCAAAACAAATTGGTAAAGGTGATGTAACCCCCATGTTTTCCTATTTAAATTCTGGTGAAACCTCCCTGATTCTCAAGTAACAATATGTAAGTTCAATAAAGGACAAGACTATGTCTGTTCTCAAGGAGAAATCCTCTAAAGATAAGTAATGGTGACAATTAATCTTCTAAGAAGCACAGCAAACAGAGATGAATTAAACCTTTCAAGGCAACAATAAAATGACTAACAGAAACCATCACAGAATACCAAATACTGATAGAAGGGACTTTCAGAAATATTCTTTGGGAAACTGCATCAAGTCTCTGGTGGCACCCTAAGGAAGAAGGGTGCAGTTTATCTTGAAGTCAGAAACTCATTTGTTCTCTGTGTTAATTTGGAGGTCTTCTTCCTCACATAGACTTATCAAGTAAAATATTCTTCCCGGGCTATACATAGTTCTAATAAATTCACAACCAAGTTACACAGCTTAAAAATTATGGTATGAAGAACAAATCTTGATTGTAAGTAGATTTTGAAGATAGTTATCAAAATGATGATTTAATGACAAGTTGACATTAAAACCAACCGTGGTACCAACGCAGAAGGGGCTGCTGCCCCAACAAGGCAGAAAGGACACTCTTTTTTAAGTATGACAGTTTGTTTGATGGAGGAGGTAGATGAGTTTCACACTCCTTGGCCCAGCTTTCCCAAAGAACAGGGCTTCCTAATAAAAAGAATTCTAGAAATATATGTATAAAGATCGGGTCTCACTAGAGTGTCCCAAATCCCAGAATCTTGTTGTAAGGTTACTATGTGGCTTGTATGGTTTGTAGCAACAGAGAAGGACATCTTGATTTAAAACAAAGCTGCTTGATCTTCTAAGGTGGTCATGACTCCTGATTCGGAGGAGCCAGGTCCCTGTGGGAGAAGCCGGCTGCTGACATTCTTACTGAAATGGAGGAGCCACGAGGCCATCTGTAGAACAGCCACCAGGGCACAAACCATCCCACTGCCTGCAAAGTCTATGGGGAACTGGTTTAATACTTGGTGACACTCGTAGCCCCGATCAGGACTCTGTCAGAGTTTCTTTCTGGCTTGACTTTCCTTCTGCGTCCTGGTCAGTCAGGGCAGATAATTGATTAAAATTCTTCTTCGTCTCCTTCTTATTTATTTATTTATTTATTTATTTATTTATTTATGTATTTATTTATTTATTCGGTGCCTCCCCATTCTGTTGCCTCAACTAAGAAAATAAACTGGAAAACAAAACACTCTGGTTTTCAACCACTATAATTTGCTTTAACGTGAGAACTTCTAGACATTTCTTTTAAGCTTTTTTGTAGTCACCTTAAAAAAATAAGAAGGCAGAAAGGATAATCAGTGGGCTGGAGGGGTGGCTCAGTGGTTAAGAGTACTGGCTGCTCTTCCAGAGGTCCTGAGTTCAAGTCCCAGCACCCACATGGTGGCTCACAACCATCTGTAATGGAACCTGATGCCCTCTTCTGGCCTGCAGGTATACATGCAGAGTACACACATATAAAATAAAAACATGGGCTTTTTTTCAGAAAAGATAATTATTGATATGAATATACTTCTGCAGAATTAATATTCACATCCAGATATTCAGGAGGCTCTCTGCCTTCTTGAGTGATAGGAGGTGATTATGCAGTTTTACAGATATGATTATACATAATTACAAGTGCAGGGCTTGCTGTCATCTTGAATATGTCTTCCTGAGAGTAGACGGCAGGAACTGACATGGACTGTGTTCATGCTGACCTCCCCTTGCATTCCAGTCTCCAAGCTGCCGAAGGCTGCATCATTGGTTTTACGTAATATGACATGGAACTGCTTTGAGAATGCCACTCTGAGATTAAACACAGGCTCTGGATCCATGTTGCTCACACCCTTTCTCACCCCCCCCCCCACTTAGACTGTGTAGTAGTGCAGGTCAGATCCCCTTTCTCTCTCTCTTTGAAGCCTTCAAATAAGATACTTGGTCATAGCCCAATGGGCGAGCATTTGATCAACTTGTTTAAAAGCCTTGGGCTCAGTTCCTCCAAACTGCTAATTAGTAAATACAGAAATAAAACCAAGGAAGATATAATAGCCATCTCTATCAATAAATTGATGATTCTAAGCTATCAGATACTTAATCAATTGTTGAGTGATGGTTAGCACGTGGAAAGAACCCACGAATCTAGATGGTTTTACGTGAAGTTATGAAAGCTAAGGGCGCTGTCCTTGAAATGGAGCCCAGTGACTGAGACACCGTGACATGTGGGGACAGGAAAAAGTGGGAACTGTCGGTTGCCCTGGGCTCAGTGAGAGAGTGCACTGTGCGCTTGGTAAACTGCTGACCGTTCGCATGCCCAGCGTTTATGTTGTGTAGAAAGAAAAAGAGTGAGGGAAAGATTATAAAGGTTTTTATATTCAAAAAGGGTTTGAACTACACACACAGTCAAGCCTCATTACTCCTGGATTCCATCCTTAATAAGTCTCCTACTTGTCCAAATTTATTGTAACTGCAACATGAACATGCCAGATGCTTTTCAATGTCATTCTCAGACGTATACATGCTGGCCTGCAGCTGCTTGGCTCATGTTTGGATGCAACTCCCCTGACACTGAGCAGACT